GCGTTCAAGTGGGAGGCCAGGCACAGGTTTAAAAATACTTTATTCCTTAGCTACTGGTAGGGGAGGGGTGACGACATCATGAGGGTACATGAATTAAACAACATAAAATATATAAACCATCCTAATCAGATTAAAAAAACAGCTGTGCCAGTAAGATTTATTTTTCTGTACCCAGTCCATTTCCAGCTCTCGTGGACAGATAAACCAGCTGATTTACGCTATGGAGTGGCAGACAAAGAGAGGACTGTGACAGAGCCTGCCCTGGAAGTTCTCCATTCAGGAAGGAAACAAAATTGAAGATCTTCTGTACTTTGAAAAAGCAATGGCTTAGCTTGAGCGCAGCCCAAGCCAGAGATGTCATGGAAGAACTAATAAAACAAGATGGACTATAATCAACTGCAGGCCAAAAAATAGTGTGGCAGTTCAAAAGGCCACCATGGTCAAACTGAAACAACCCTAATCGTTGACCCAACTGGGAAAAGTAAGCAGAGCCTCGTAGCTAGGAATATTTTTGGGAGGGGGCCTGTGGGGGCCACCAGCTAATTAAATCAAAGTTAATTAGTGAAACTCCTTAGAAGCCAGCCTTCCCCTAAGGCAGCCCTGCACATACACACCCAGACTCCAAGGCAAGTGGGGAGGGGCAATGCCCAGCAGCCGCAGCTTCCTCTCTCCCCCAGAGCACTGCATACCTGCTCAAGTTGTGAAGCTAGGCAGCGAGAAGCAAGCATTGGCCAGCAGCATTCAGGAGGGGGACTGGCAGGGGAGGGGGAGAAAGACATCCAATGTGGGAGTGGGAAAAGGCAGCAGGACGCTCTCCCCAGCCTACTCACTCAGGCTAGCACAGCAAGCCCGCCTGCCCGCTCCCCGCCCCAGTGAGCAAGCTAGGCACCTCCTGCTGCTGGGACTGCAGCCACCTCCGTCGCCACTGTTCTGGATGTTGCTGGCTGGGAGTGGAGCGAAGCTGGTGGGGAAGTGGCCAAGGTGCTCAGTTGCCTGGCAGCCAAGCTACTTGTGAAGCTGGGGTTCATGTATGAATCCCCAGACATGTAACTGAACTGCAAACAACGGTTGCCAAGAATCTGTGCGTGCTAAATAGGATTAGGGCTGCTGTGTTTTCCAAGGTGAAGTGCAACTCCCCCTCCCCCCAAAAATCTTGGCTTCCTGTTGTCTCACTGTCTTCCACCAGCAGGTGACAGTTTGAGTCCAGTGGTACCTTTAAAACCAACAAAGTTTAATTCTGGGTATAAGCTTTTGTATAAGACTTTAATTCTGGGTATAAGAAGGCCGAGCGCCGAATAATAGATTCTTTTGAACTATGGTGCTGGAGAAAACTCTTGAGAGTCCCTTGGACTGCAAGAAGATCAAATCAGTCAATCCTAAAAGAAATCAACCCTGACTGTTCCCTGGAAGGCCAGATAATGAAACTGAAGCTCAAATACTTTGGCCACCAAATGAGAAGGGAGCACTCACTGGAGGAGACCCTGATGCTGGGAAAGATTGAAGGTCAAAGAAGACGGGGATGGCAAAGGATGAGATGGTTAGACAGTGTCATAGATGCAACGAACATGAAGTTGAGCAAACTTCAGAGGACGGCGGAAGACAGGAAGGCCTGGCGTGATCTGGTCCATGGGGTCCTGAAGAGTTGGACTCGACTGTGCGACTGAATAACAACAACATAAGCTTTTGTGTGCATGCATACTTCTTCAGATACAAGTGTGTATCTGAAGAAGTGTGCATGCACACAAAAGCTTATACCCAGAATTAAACTTTGTTGGTCTTAAAGGTGTCACTGGACTAAAACTGTGTTCTGTTGCTTCAGACCAACATGGTTACCCACCTAAATCTACCAGCAAGTGAAGACTTTCTTCTTTTGTCTGATGTTCCCTTAGTAATCCCTCCTCCCTGCCCTATGTTTTAATTGATGTTTCTGCATTTTTCTATATATGTACTTTAGTTCTGGTTTTAACTCATTCTATGATGTGTTTTATACTGCCTTGGTGGCCCTGACTGGGCTGAAAGATAGGATATAAATTTTGTAAATAAATTAAAATAAATAAAATAAACAGCCTCTGCTTAAGCCACAAGAGACAAAATGGATTGACACAGTGCGGACATTTGTTTTGCCCCTCCTTGGGCTTAAAAAGCAGCTCAGGAGGATCATTTCTGATAAAACATATTGTATGTGGAAAGGAATAGCACCCACCCACCCATTCCAGAGCAGCAACACAGATCTATATCCCCTACCCCTGTTTCTTGCAATTCAATTACCCATCTGGAGATCAAAACACAGACCCATAAGATGGCCCTTATGAGGGCAGAAAGGTGGGGTATGAATGTGGTAAAATCAATAAACTGCATGTAGATTTGGGAGCACCTACCTGGGCTCCAACTAACTGGAGAAGTGCAAAGTTTACAGGAAGCACGTCGATGTCAGTGTTGATGGCTGTCTGGTCGAAAGGGCAGGCCTTGCGGTGCAGCTTATTCAGGCAGGTCTTGCAGACTGTGTGTGAGCAGCCTAAGCTGATTGGCTTGTGCACATTCTCATCAAACTCATTGTAGCAGATCGGACAGGACAGAAATTCCGTCCACTGTGCCGCCTGCACAGGCATTGTGGAAGGTGGGCGCTCGCTCCGACAGCTAGCAAACCATTATTTCACCGTCTAGTGTTTGGCAGCTGTGAAGGAAACAAAATGTATTAATGTAGAGAAAGGTAGAAGGTTTACACAGCTTGCCACTGGGAAGACGAGTTTAAAACCCATAATGGGTAACCCATGAGGTCAAGGATTCTATCCCCGAAAAGGGGGTGAAAATATTCCTCAGAGGCAAGTGGGTTAAGACACCTTGAGCACTTTTTAAGCTAGTCTTCAGTTGCAAAAACATGGGAACACAGAAACAGAACTAGCTTGCCTCAGGCCAGGAAAGTAGTATGCAAAGAACTGGATGTGTTTTCCCCCCAGTGACTCAGCACCATGCAAGCAAACTGTTCAGCAATCATCTGGCTGCACATAGCCTATTTGAACTCATTATTTGCTATGTGAGGATTTTTTTTTTAAGCCTGGATATATCTCTCAGCCCAATATTATACAGCAGAAATGAACTAGGCAACTTTTGCTTCATTTCTTACATTTTGTTGTGGCTACCATACTGAAGACTTCATGTAGCAGAATCTGAATAAATCTGTGGGGGAAAAACACATTTGGAACAAATGGAGAATAGAGGACTGGAGTTCAGAGAGCAGTGCACACAGATGTAAAAAGATGCAGAGAGGCAGAGAATACAGGGTTGGATCCAGTCTACTTTTCACTGATTCTTGCACAATTCTCCTCCATATTACACCTCCTGTCCCATGTGGCTTGTGTATATCCTGGTCCCATGATTCCCCACAACAGCCTTTTCAGGTGGTTGAAGGGGACCCTTCCTTTCTTTTTCATCAGCTGAACAACTGGTTGGATTCAACTCAAGCTCTGAACATCAATAAAGTAGCATGAGGTCCAACCAGTATCCCCCCTTGCAATGTCATTGAGGTTGCTGGGGCACAATTCTTGGGCCACCCCTGAAACTGCTCCCCCCATGATGAAATCCCACCAAGACCACCTTCATTTTGCAATAAAATGCTCAGGATGCCCGGGTATCCAAAAAGGTGGATGTTATATATATAAAAAAAGCTGACTGCTCTAGCCTGTCTTGGAAACTGAAAGAATGCAATACCAATTCAAATACGTTAATTCTGCATGAAAGCAATATTCTCTCTCTCTCTCTCTCTCTCTCTCTCTCTCTCTCTCTCTCAACAACAACAACAACTGTAATTCTGGTTTGTAGTAAACTTACAAGATGTATTATAATACTTATTATTATCTGAAGTCCAACCATAAGAACAAACTTCACCACCAGGTAGGAAGCCCTAGTCAATCAATCAATCAATCAATCAATCAATAAACCTTTAATAGCATATACAACATTAAGGAAGCCCTAGTCAAAAAAGACTTCATCAACTGACCAGACAAATATTAATCCAGTACTGTTAAAGCACTGACTTCAACAGAACAACCAAAAAGATACTTCAGTTATCAACAGCATTGAAACTTACACAAATTACAAAAATAAAATTTAGTTAAGGGTTCTGTAATGGTAAATTTGCTTTTATTGTGGAACACTAAAGGTGAAATGAGAACGCTGATACAGCAAAGTAGCAGCAACTATTAAAAATCAAAGTCAGGTTTTAAAGGTTGCTGTTAATTACAAATAACACAATAATGGAATAAAAGGAGGGAGTTGCTACGTAAACAGGGGCATTCTTGACTTCATGGAATATTTGACTATGGTAAATTGGCTGGGCAATTAATGATACTTCACATTTGACCAAACAACTGATCTGCATACCTGTTCTACTTCAGTAGCATGATTAAGGGCTTAAAAAAGATGCATCTTTCAGAATATATGAGTTATCATTAAATAAAGTACAGGGGAAAATAATTTGATACTTCCGCCTGGTCAACCTGGTTCAAACTAAAGAGGTCATTTGGGATTAAAAAAATATTTATTTCTCCAAACTGAGGCAACTTTTTCACTCAGTCTCACATAATTCTCTTCCAGCCCCAATCCCACATGGCTGCTGTACATGCTGGTCCCACGGTTCCCAGCAGAAAACAGCATAACTTCAGAACACTACACTACAATATCAAAAGCATTATTAAAACAAATAGTCAATACAATCATCAATATCTTTCATTCACTCCACCCAAGAGACTTGTACCTGATTTACTAGTGGCCTACTGGACATGCAAGTAAGATATGAAAGCTGTATTGCTGAATGATAATCAAAAGAATCTGCCCACACACAGACATTCAAACAGATTATTTAAACCCCTCTCTGAAGGCAGATGTAGGAACACACCTTAGATCTATAGCCCTTTTCAAATGCATCCAAGTCCTGGAGCTACTGACATCACTGCATTTCTATATTTGTGTTTTTCACATATGTAAGGGGAAAGCAGTTCAGAAATGACCAAAGACATCTGCATCAAAACCTTGCATGGGTCTGTCCACTCCAAAGAAAACCCTGGGAGATTTTTAAAGACACATCTCTTGCACAGACTCAGCCATTTTTAGTGGCTATTTCTGGGTGCTCCCCTACAGAGACATAGTGTTAAAAGCGGCCTTATGTGATTGAAACAATGAAGCTTCAATTATGCAGCTAGAATACAGTCACAGCAGTAGGCAGAGGTGCTGCTGAGGCTGCTGCAAGCCCATTTGACCATTTGTTCCTTCTTAATGTCTCAGTTCTAGGAAACTCAAAACAAACTTCAGCCTAAAACATACCCCCCCCCCCATTTCATAACTAGTGATGTGCACAAACCTAACACATAAAGTGGAAGGCAGAAAAAGTACAGAATGAAGTACTGGCCCAAGAATTCAACTTCCTGAGAAGCCCAGCCTTCACTAAAATGCAAGTTTCTGGTCCTTATGGATGCAGATGTGCAAGAATGCCTGATGAAACAGGAGCCCAAAGAGTGGCCCTAATAAAATCCTCAGAGGCTGGAGAGAGAGAACCATTACTTACTCAGGGGGAAACAAACAAACCTGGAATAAATTTTGCAAAAAGGGTTGGATCCTATGGATCTAATCCCATAACGTCAGTGCTTTCCTCTGTTATAATGAACATTCTCCAAACTTGAAAGGCTTTCTGCATAGGGAAAGTGCCACTGTTAGCAGAATAGATTCATGGGATTCAGCCCAAGAATATTTGCTTGACCTGTTATAAATTTCAGTATTTTAATTAAATCAGCAAGCAGTACAGAGAGATTTCAGCATAGCTGCTTAAAAGCAAAATAAATAAATAAATAAAATAAAACCAATAGCAATAAATCCCAGAGTCAACATCTGGAAACTCAGCATCCCCATTTTACATTACCACCACTGTCCAACTACCAGTTGCCTAGTAATGCTCCAAAAGGGAATAGCCACACCCACAGCTAAAACACAGCACAGCAGCCAAACAGGTCTTGGCTTTTGGGTACCACCAACTGGGAAACCAGTTGGATGGTTTCTTGGGGCTACCAAATCTTCTGCATTAGCACTCCTGCTACTCACTGACACACAGAAAGTGCCCTATTTTTGCTTCACTTGGGGAAATCAGCTCAGAACTCCATGTGGGGTGGATCTGGAGACATGAAACAAAGCTTGGGCCAAGCTCTCTGTCTCAAAACAGGCAATCATCATTCCCTTTGCATATTCGAAAGGGCTTGGAAATTAGAGCAGTCCTTGACTTCGCCTGACTTCTACCAACTTCTAACTTCATAGTTCAGTTACGTTTTGGCTGCTCGACAATTTAATTAGCAGCAACACATTAAAATACTTACTAGAATGCTGATGATTTAAGGACTTGCTTCTCTCTCTCTTTTGAATATATGTTAATTACAACCATCTGTTTAAAAATTCTGTTCGGAACTTTGGCTACCTAATTCCTTCAAAGCAACAGGATATACTTGATACAAAGTGTTCCTATCTCCGTGCAGAATTTCTAGCATTTGGAAAGATTTATTCTTTCTGATTTGTTCAAAGTTGAATTTGTGTGCTGCTTTGCTGTTGCTGAAGCAGGAGACGTCTTCAGGTGGAACATTTTATCACTCCGTGGCCGGGACATCACACCCACCATGGCCATTGTTCATTGGTTTTCTTCCTTCAAAGCAATGCTATCGCCTATCTTTCAAAAACCGAATCCTACAAGGTGGCCAGTGTAAACTTTTGAACACACAATTCAAAACCATAAACCTGAAAGGACCACACTACTCATCACCAACTGACTAAATGCAACAGTGCCCAAAATAATGTCTACTTAGCTGCTTAGTTGTCTATTTCATTATCACCCTGTCCCACAGTGCTCAAAACCTGTGGCATCTGGCACCGTGGCACCGAAGGGCACATTGACACTATGGACCATAATACCTCAAAAGCATTCCTTCACAATCAGAATTTGTTCCATTTTTAACAATGCCATTTCAGAAGCTTTTAATTAAATGACAGCAGAACAGTGAGTTATTAGAAACGTTTACTTTAATGCATTCAGTTGTAATGACTTAAACAGGGATCCAAAGAACAGCACAAGCAGCTCCAGTCCACAGTCTTTTCATGCTTTTTGAAGACTATCTCCACAGAACCACTTCTTGGAGTAAGCTTTGATCTCAATGGGACAATAGTGCTCCAAGCATAGAGGAAGTCCACTTCAGAACGGCTGATGCTAGTAACACACTTGTACTCTTTTAAAAAAATTAAAATATTTATAGTCTATCAAGACTCTGGCTTTTGAGGTAACAAAAAATTACTGCTTAAGAACCTGATCCCGATAAAATAATAGTCTTCAAACAGCAGCAACCACAGCCAAAACTGGGAGTTGAGCACTAAGAGTTTTTAATTTTTTTTAAAAAGTACTGAAAGGAGAATTAAAACAGCATTTCACAGGGGTGCACAGTAAATCAAAAGCCGGGGGGGGGAGTAGAGAAGGCACCCCAGAACTTGTGGTTTCACTGAGAAGGTCCTGTCTCTGATAGCCATCCACCCTCCTCTGAGGACAGGGGCACAGACAGCAGGGCCCCTGAAGAAAACCTTAACGGAAGGGGAGACAGGTGAAGGAGTGAGGTGGTTTGGTGGCTTCTTGTGATTGCAGCCAGAATATTAGATGAGGTGGTCACTTGTTCATCCAGCAAGGTGTTCCTATAGAATCAGCCACTTCCTTTTTTATTATTAAGATTAGGCAATACTGACTCCTCCTCTGGGCACAATTAAAAGTCATTGGGCTGGATTTGGTCAACTTCATTGATTAGTCTCACCCAATTCCCCCCTTCATAACTGCTCCTGTCCCACCTGGCTTTTGTTCATGTAAATCCCATGATCTCCAAGTATGGCTTTATGCTGGTCAATATGGACCACTTTCCCCCTTTTTCATCAGTGAAAAAGCTGGTTATATTAAACCCATATTATTATTAATTTACTGAGGACTTAACCATAACTGTACATGATGCTATACAGAATTTCATAAGCAAAACTCAGACACATGACTGTTCCCATGGTTAAGAAACAACAGATAGGGCATGGTGGCATAGGCTAAACATGTGTGGCTGCCAGTTCCACAGTGCTACATCAGTGTCAACTGATCCTGATCTCTCA